AGTGTAAAAAGAATGTGCATCTTTGTCTTCAGTGTCAGCCTTCGCAGGTCAGCTTTGTGCCTTGTGTTAACCGGGTCTTAAATACAGCTTTTATTATCAGTAGTTAAATATTACCTGACTGGTTAGTTGCTTAGTAGTTGCAGCTTCGGTGGCTAGCGGGTAGTAACTCGCTAATGTTTTTAATTTAATAATCATATACACAATTTAAAAAGTAAAAGGCTCGTTATATATTTATATTGAAACTAATACATACAAAATATTATGTTATCTCCCATGTCACGTGAAGTTACGTCACCAGCGTGGAAGTTGCGGTCACGTGATGCAAGTCTGTTCCATTTAACCGTTTTCTTTGACCAAGGAAGGACAGTGTCCTTGTAAGCAAGGAGCATGACCTCGCAAGGCAAGGCGCCTTGACATTGAGAAAAACCCATGGTTTTATACACAGGAAAGGTGTTCAAGGAGACTGGGAGCAGGTGTGACCAATGAACTGACTGAGGAGGTAAAATAAGCAGGAGGCTGAAACTAACATGATGAAAATGAACACAATTAACTAAGATGGACTAAAAGGTTGCAAAGGGAAACACAAACACTAAAAAAGCCTGAACTTAATTAAACTGAAGAGCAAAAACCAGTGAGCAACAAACTGGAGGGCTGGAGAATAAATCTAAGAAAACTAAAGATAAGTGAACTACTTAACCTGAAATTACAGAACTAGAGACACAGTAGGGCGGGGGAGTAAATACCTAAACAACATACATGACAACTGAAACACCAGAATAAACTAGAAACACCATCTAATCCAATCCACCTTTATTTGTGAAGCACTTTCGACCAAAGTGCTTCACACAAAGATAAAAACATAGCGACATAACTAAAAACAATAAAAACATGGATAATATATTAAAACATACGAAAACATTGTAAAAGAAATTAAACTCAACACTGCTTAAAAACAGGAGTGTATAAGAATAATCAGTCAGTGTTAAAAGCCAGTGAATAACAGTGAGTCTTGAGGAGGGACTTAAAAACGACCAGAGAAGATGCCTGTCTAATATTGTCTGAAAACTGGATATTTAAGAAATGAAAGAGACAAGAAATAGAATGAATCTAAATGACACAGCCAGGGAAGGAGACAAGAAGGGATGCAGGAGACACGAGACGTGACATCTACACCCAAAAAAACAAACTCTGCCTATTGCTGCTTTTATTATGTTCATTTTGTTGTATCTACTTAATAAACTTGATTTTGCAAAGATTGGTAATGTGCTTGAGCAATTGTAATGTAATACAGTAATCCCTCGCTACTTCGCGGTTCGTTCATCGCGGATTCGCTGCTTCGCGGATTTTTTCTTTGGAGCATTTTTCAGGGGGAATTCGCAGATTTGCGGTATTTTTCACTGATTCGCGGTATTTTTCTATGCGAAATATCAAGAAATTCTTGTTTTTTTTCATCAAAAAATGCACTTTTTGTAATAAAACTAAAAAAACCAAGTAAAAAAATTTTTTTTTTTTTTAGTTTTACCCACAAAAAGACAGTGTGATCATACGATAATTCAATATAGTACTGTATGTCAGACAGGTCGGCTGGATTTGGGAGCTGAGCTTGTAGGGAGCGTGGTTTCACAGACACGGAAGTGATAGCTTCGGTGAAACGCCGGCTGATCTAGGAAACCCCCGAGCATTCAAGCGTCAACAAAGTGACACGGAAATGCCGGGCTTTCCAGAAGTAAGTAAGATAACTAACTATGAGCTGATAGTTCGTTGGATTGATCGGTAGGTTGGAAACTCTGATCATGAATCTGAAGAAACGATGACTGAGTGGTGAGCTGGAAAGGCGACTTCCGTTTATAGCCGCGGTTTGTGACGTAGGTGCAACGTGGAGGGAATCCCCGCGAGGGGCTTGCTGGGAGTCCCTACTTCGCGGATTTTCAACTATCGCGGCCAGGTCTGGAACGCATCTACCGCGATAAACGAGGGATTACTGTACTGTTGATTTCTGTTTCTACACAAAACCATTGAGCTATGTCAACAAAACATTGTTGAGTAAATTCAGAGTTTTGTCCCTCTTCTGATACCGTATTGCCCAACTTGATAGCCACATGAGCTGCCTGCCCAAACAAAGGCCAATGCGCATGTTCACCATCCATGGGCAAGGTGCATTGTGAGTAGCCGGTTTTCAGTTGATTATTTCTATTTTGGTGTGTTTTCATGTGTTTTGTTGGGGGTTTTACTGCTAGGGTTGGGTTTTGTTGGTTGTTGCAGTTAGTTGCTGGTGTTATTTTGGGTTGGTGTTGTAAAGGGTTAATTTACATGTTATTTAATGAACCATGAGATATGAGATTCCATAGAAAATATGAAATCAATCTTATGGATCTTTGGTACTTTGGTACGGAGAATGGTGTAGTGTGGAATGTTGTTCAGAACCAGCAAATCCAGAGAAACGATTAGTTCTGATGGGAGTGAAGGTGATGTCTTCGCGCTAAGCTTTTATTCGGAGATTCATAAACACATAAGACGCCATTTTTGTCGCTCCACACATACCCTTAGAATGAGACCTCCGTACAGATCCAGACTGCCAGGTCCACGAACCTCTCTTTCGGTACCGGAGCCAATGAAACAGCATCAGCAGTACGACAGACTAGTCTTTGGATTGTCTCCAGGTAAAAAGCGACAGTTGGTTGACTGTGTTAGATGGACCCGGAGGGTCAATGAGTTCAGCTTTTATTCTAAAAGGAACCGTTGCTTGGTTGGTAAAATGCAACAGATTTTTTCCAGCTTGTCGTTGGTTCTTTCGGCTGAAGAGGAAAGTTACGGATTGGCCACTCCGTCAACTTCTCTAGAACGGTTGAACTGCGTTAAAGATGACGTGGGCATAGTTTTATACTTCGGATGTTTTGGTTTATGGTTGAATGAAAAGATAACAGATTTACCAAGCATCTCCAAAACCACGCCTCCGTCAGATCTGGCAGATTCTGATTGGATCAGTAAAAGCAATGTGCCAGGTCTTAACGCTACATGTGATCAGTCTCTAATGGAAACATTTAAAGTTGCATTACTTATTGTATTATGTAGGATTATAATATCAAGTAATTAATATTTTCATTTCACAAATTGGTTCACATTTTATTATTGACTAACACTTTGTTTAATTAGCTTATTAAAAATAGAGTTCATTGGTTTATTAAAAAGGAAGAGTCCTTTGTCTTCATTCTTCTCTTGGGCTGGAAAGGAAATCAGTTTAGAAGCAAATGCATGAGACCTTGAGGCAATATCTCATGCAGATTAGTTCTTGCTGAGGAGAGGGGGGAAATGACTTTTAGGTGGAAAACAGTAATTTCATTCCGTTACAGTGTTAATTTTGCACCATGAGAAAATATTCCATTCCGAGTAATGGGACTGTAGTGACGTCGAGCTGTTTCATAAAGTAGTCGGTGTTTCCCAGGTGTGGCACTGCACTACGGCTGAAATTCCAGCGCCACACCTACAAATAATTCCAAACTAATTAAACAGAAGGGGTTTAGGCTGTAACCAAAACGAGCTGGCTCTTTCAGCTACTAAGTGGCTCCTCAGATTTTCTGTTGCATAAAGTATATTTGTCACCAAAATTCATGCAAAACTATATGTAAAATGATTTACTAATATAAAAAAATGCAATATACCAAATATTTATCATTTATATGGATTTTTCAACTGAACACTTTAAGAAATCTCAACTTTCCGACTGCTGTCGCTCATTTTCTCACCGTCTTCTTCGCACTCTCCTCTCTCTAGCTCACCTTTTTCCTCCTCATTCCCTCTCGTCTCCCTCCACACGTATGTGCTCTGCTGTGTGTCTGAGTCTGATCCTCCCTCTTCCTTGCCCCTAATGCTCTGTGTGTGGACAGTCTGGACATGCAGTTGCACATGTTGACCAATCACCTGTGGCTTTCACCAAGACAAGAGGGGGAGGGGGGACAGCTCCCAATGACGAGACGGCTTCTGTCGTTCACCAGAGCCAGTTCGTTCGTGACCGACACATCACTATTTGTTACAAATGCAGTTTACATAAATGAGGATTTTACTTTGCGCTTTAAAATATAAAAACAAGCACATACAGCAAGTCATTCAACATAAAACATGTTCATTTCTATGAATTGAGCAGTACAGTAATCCCTTGTTTATCGCGGTAGATGCGTTCCAGACCTGGCCGCGATAGGTGAAAATGCGCGAAGTAGGGACTCCCAGCATGCCCCTCGCGGGGATTCCCTCCACGTTGCACCTACGTCACAAACCGCGGCTATAAATGGAAGTCGCCTTTCCAGCTCACCACTCAGTCATCGTTTCTTCAGATTCATGATCAGAGTTTCCAGCCTACCGATCAATCCAACGAACTATCAGCTCATAGTTAGTTATCTTACTTACTTCTGGAAAGCCCGGCATTTCCGTGTCACTTTGTTGACGCTCGAACGCTCGGGGGTTTCCTAGATCAGCCGGCGTTTCACCGACGCTATCACTTCCGCGTCTGTGAAACCACGCTCCCTACAAGCTCAGCTCCCGAATCCAGCCGACCTGTCTGACATACAGTACTATATTGAATTATCGTATGATCACATTGTCTTTTTGTGGGTAAAACTCAAGAAAATTTTTTTTTTACTTGGTTTTTTAGTTTTATTACAAAAAGTGCATGTTTGATGAAAAAAAAAAAAAAGAATTTCTTGATATTTCGCATAGAAAAATACTGCGAATCAGTGAAAAATACCGCGAATCTGCGAATTCCCCCTGAAAAATGCTCCAAAGAAAAAATCTGCGAAGCAGCGAATCCACGATGAACGAAACGCGAAGTAGCGAGGGATTACTGTATATGACCACCAGTTTCTATGGAGCTAAATAAAATCTTTGCAAGGTAAAAAGAAATAAATTTGGCAAGTTGAGCTGATTTGATTTGCTGCTAATTTGTCTGGTTTAGATCAAACAAACTAGCTCATCAGAAAAGTGACTGTTCATTTCAATATGCTGGGGGGGGGGGGGGGGGGGGATGATGAATATGAATAAATTAGCTGAATGTGTGAAATGATCTAATAAAACATCTGATTTTCTAACATCTCTTGCTCACATGGTGAAAATCAAGTGACCACTGAAGGTGGTGTGATGGTTGCCACTGTCATAAATCCTTGTATTTTCCCTCTGACGCAGAAACACAACATCTCCAACCTCCAACAGCAGTGTGATACTGTTGGCCGTACTAGCAAAATGGGAAGGCTGCTGCTCGTAAGCAATGAAGGTCTTTTCTCCATTCTTAAACAACATGGCTCCTGCAGGATTTGAAGCATCTGTAAACCCATGTATGTGGAACACAAAGTGATAGACTCCTCTCACAGGTGCGATGAAAAAACCTGTAAAATTGTTTTATAAAAACATGCATGTTAGGTTATGTGGCTAGTCTAAATATTCACTAAGTGTCAGGGAAGGAGGGTGTTACATGTCCATGATGGACTGGAGATAAAAACAGTTCCCCTCAATTCTTACTGGAGTAACAGAAGATGTATGAATGTATTATAAATATTATTTAGTGAATCTGAGTACCTGTATTTGGGTTGTAGGCATTTCCAAGATTAGTAACAACATGTCTGAAGACCAGAGGTGTTTGTGCATTAAAAGGTCCAACATGTCCATAGCCTGAGTCCATCAGAGAGGCTGAGAAAGCCACTTGTTTCACTGAGAGACAAAAACTTTATTAGTTTCTCAGAATTATGCATATAGAGGTTTAGTCTCACTAAAATAGTATTAATGAAATTTTTGAATGAGCTAAACCATTGTCCAGTTCTAAAACCTTTTAGAATCCAGTAATACACACACACACACACACACACACACACACACACACACACACACACACACACACACACACACACACACACACACACACTCAGAGAGAGAGCACCACCAGTATGTATGTACAGTACATTAACCCTCTCAGGCTCAAAATAAGTTTGATAAAAGGATGAACAACTAAGTCCTTCAGGGCTACTTCTGAGTTAAAAACTGCTCATGAAATACGTTTGTGGAGTAACCAGGTAGGTAGGTTTTAACAATGCAAATCTGCAACATCTGCCTCCAGAGGGTTAACAAACCTGCTCCTTCTCTCCTCAGAGCCTCCACTTGGTTTTCAGTGATGTTTGCGGAGGCTTTAATGGTGATCAGTTCTCCTTCATGAGCTGAAATTACAGAAAGCAAAAACAATAAGATGGCAAAAAAAAATTAAAACCAGACAGCTTTCACTGTACATTATACATGAACAATTTGACTAGGGTCTATTAAAGATGAACATTGTTTGTTTTGTTTTTGACCTGATTAATATAGATGTGTAATGTTTAAAAAAGCCATTAGTTTACTTAACAATAAATGATTAACAGTAAATACCTTGGTCCTGTTGCTTCAGCTTGTCCAGCTCTCTCTTTTGTAACTCCAGTTCTTTTTCATTTGCTAGAAAATTCAGAAAACAATTAACTGGTTTTTAAACAGTGACCAAAAGTAGCACTTACAAGTAAAAAGGCCCTTCTTATTTCTGATTTGTAACTTTTACATCTACTTTTTTTTTCATCGTTTCCAATACCTTGGTCCTGTTGCTTCAGCAGCTCCAGTTCTTTTTTATTTGCTAGAAAATTTAGAAAACAATTAACTGGTTTTCAAACAGCAACCAAAAGTAGCACTTACAAGTAAAAAGGTCCTTCTGATTTCTGATTTGTAACTTTTACATCTACTGTTTTTTTCATCGTTTCCAATACCTTGGTCCTCTTGTTTCAGCAGCTCCAGTTCTCGTGTTTTAGCTGTTAGTGTTTAGGAAAAAAAGATCAAGCATCAGTATTATTTCTATTAAGTTACTCTAGCTGTACTTAGTCAACATACCTTCATTTTCTTTCTGTAAGTACTTCACCTCCACCTTCAGTCCAGCCAGCGAGGCGCTCATCTCCCTCAGCACATCACTGATGTCCTGTGTACATGTTTGTTGGTGGTCTGAGGGATTTCCTGCTTCTACGTGTGAACCTGCTGGCTTCAAATATGAATTTGTTTCATTGTCAGGCTGCTGAAGCTGAGCCTCAGTAAGAGAGCAGATTAACAAGAAAAGTGCAAAAAGAATAGGCATCTTTGTTTCCAGTGTCGGCTTTTGCAGGTCAGACTTGTGATTTCTGTAATAACCCAGGCCTTAAATACAGCTTTTATTATCAGTCGTTAAATATTAACTGATTTTAGTCTCAGGAACATTCCCAGGTGGTATAATCTGGTACTTTGAACTTGTTTTGTTAAAATAAAAAAGTCACACAGTGACTAATTCAGATGTGACTTTTTTAAAAACTGAGTTTGTTTCTGAATCTAAAAATCTGGTCCTCCTCTCAGAGGCTACATTTCTATGTGGGCTGTTTTTAAATGTTTAAATGAGTTAGCTCCACGTTATCTGGCGGATCTGATCCATCCTTATGTTCCCGCAAGGAACCTTCGGTCAGCACAACAAGGACTGTTGGTCGTTCCTAAACACAGACTACAATCTCGAGGGGGTCGTGCTCTCTCTGTGCTGGGGCCGAGGCTCTGGAATGAGCTACCTACATGTGTTAAACAGGCCACCACGCTCAGCAAGATTAAGAGCCAGCTGAAAACACACTTTTATTCTTTGGCTTTTATTCAAGAAGAGTCCCGTTAACGGATGGGTTTGCACTTTTTGCTGCCCCGCCTAGATTTTATCTGCATGTTTTTGTTGGTTTTTAAATGGTTTTGTATGTTTTTCTTATTTCTTTAATGTTTATTTCTGCTGTGCAGCACTTTGTTTCGTCCTTGGGCCATGTGAAGGCACTATATAAATAAGGTTTTAGTTAGTTAGTTAGTTATACTCCTTCTAATTATTTAAATCATCATATTGCTCGAATTACAGTGCGAGGAGGAGGAGTAGCAACCATTTTTCATTCGGACTTATTAATCAATCCAATCTCTTACCAATTAATAGCTACAGTTCGTTTGAACATCTTATTCTTAGTTTTCCTAATCCAGATTGCAAAACTGTAAAACCACTCTTGTTTGTAGTTTTATATCGTCCACCAGGCCCTTAATCTGATTTTTGGATCAGATTTCTGATTTTTTATCTGATTTGGTGCTAAATACTGATAACGTGGACATTGAAAATGATAGCCTCAATGTAGCCTTTAGTAATGTCTTAGACTCAATTGGTTTTTACCCAAAGAATACATAGCTCCACCCACTCCTGCCATCATACATTAGACCTTGTGCTGACTTATGGCACAGAGTGTGAGGAAATAACAATCTTTCCACATAATCCAGTCCTCTCGGACCTCATGGAGGGAGCCATCCTCTGGCTAATCACTTAAACATTCTCCCTCTCCTGATAATAACTTTTGCTTTCCTTGACGTTGGATGTGCTACTACTAGTTCACCCGTTTAATTATAGATTCACTAGGGTAAATACAAAAAAGTTTATCTCTTGCCAAATAGAATATTTACTAAGAAATCACAATGTAACCATAGACACATTACTTGGTGTGTGCATGCGTGCGTGTGTGTGTGCGTGCGTGCGTGTGTGTGTGTGTGTGTGTGTGTGTGTGTGTGTGTGTGTGTGTGTGTGTGTGTGTGTGTGTGTGTGTGTGTGTGTGTGTGTGTGTGTGTATGTATGTGTGTGTGTCTGCCTGCTCTGTCTTCTCGATCCCCAGTGAGTCGTGGAGGATGGCTGCTTATACTGAGCCAGGATTCTCTGGAGGTTTCTTCCTGTTAAAAGGGAGTTTTCCTCTCCACTGTCGCTGCATGCTTGCTTAGTTTGAGGATTGCTGTAATGAACTGCAATGAATTCCATTGTACCACTGTCTCTTTTCTTGGTTTCACTATCTCTCCCAATCAGATTGCCATGGATCCTGCCAAAACTTCTGCCGTCATCAACTGGTCCATTCCCACAACCCGCAAACAGCTCCAACGGTTCCTAGGATTCGCCAACTTCTATCGGAGATTCATAAGATCGCTACACCTCTGCATGCCCTCACTTCCAGCAAGGTCAGTTTTCTATGGAATAAGTCAGCCCAAGACTCATTTCAAAAACTCAAGGACATGTTTACGTCCGCACCAGTCCTGCATTTACGCGATACCACAAGACAATTTATTGTGGAAGTTGATGCCTCTGCCTTTGAAGTTGGGGCTGTCCTCAGTCAGAAATCCAAGCATGATAAAGTACATCCATGTGCATTTTTCTCCAAGACTCTTTCATCCACAGAGTGCATTTATGATGTCGGAGATCGGGAACTTTTGGCCATCAAACTTGCACTGGAGGAATGGCGGCATTGGCTGGAGGGGGCTGTTACACCATTCATTGTGTGGACCGATCATAGAAACTTGGAATACATCAAAACTGCAAAAAAGACTCAATTCTCGACAAGCCAGTACAGCTAGAGTAACTTAATGGAAATAATACTGATGCTTGATCTTTTTTTCCTAAACACTAACAGCTAAAACACGAGAACTGGAGCTGCTGAAACAACAGGACCAAGGTATTGGAAACAATGAAAAAAAACAGTAGATGTAAAAGTTGCAAATCAGAAATAAGAAGGACCTTTTTACTTGTAAGTGCTACTTTTGGCTACTGTTGAAAAACCAGTTAATTGTTTTCTGAATTTTCTAGCAAATAAAAAAGAACTGGAGTTACAAGAGAGAGGGTAACGGGGCCAGGAGGTTGCATCGTCCTCACAAAGTGTCCGGAGTCTGGTCTCCACATCCTGGTTAATCCTCTCCTAGTGTCCATCGGTCTGGGGGTGAAAACTGGATGAGAGGCTTACTTGAATGCCCAGACGAGCACAGAACTCCCTCCAAAAGCCAGAGATTAACTGAGGGCCACGATCAGAGACGATGTCCAGGGGTAATCCATGAAGGCGAAACACCTCTCTCGCCATGATGTCAGCCATGTCCTTAGCCGAGGGGAGTTTCCTAAGAGGAACCAGATTTTTTTTTTTTGAGAAACGGTCTACGATGGTGAGAATTACCTTGAAACCATCAGAAGGAGGAAGACCCGTGATGAAATCCATGCTGATGTGAGACCAGCGATGGCGGGGAATAGGTAACGGCCGTAATAATCCAGCTGGGGGTCGCCAAGAAGTCTTGGCTTTGGCACAGGTAGGACAGGCTGAAACAAATTCTTTGACATCTCCAGACAGGGTAGACCACCATAAATTATTGCGTACAAGGGCCAGTGTTTTGGAGATGCCAGGATGGCAATAGAGACGGGAGCTGTGGCAGAAGGTGACTACCTGGGAACGGAGGGCATCAGGAACGAACAGGCGATCGGGAGGACACTGGGGAGGCACAGGATACTGCTGGTGCGCCTGTCGGAGTTGATTCTCCAGCTCCAATCTGGATGCTCCAAGCAATACTTTTTGTGGGAGAATCAGAGAGTCGGGGTCGTAGTCCTGGTCTGTTATTGTGGGTTCCATAGATCTGGACAGGGCATCGGGTTTTGTGTTCTTTTCTCCTGGGCGATAAGACAGAGTGAAGTTGAAACGACTGAAAAATATAGCCCACCTACATACCTTCATTTTCTTTCTGTAAGTATGTTACGGCCGCCGCCGTTTTGGAGCCCAGTGGTATGCAGTGCGCCTTTCCCTGTGCAGCAGCGCAGCACCACGGACAGCTACTCCGTGGGAAGCTGTCCTTACTCCAGCACCATGGACAGCGCCGGAGCGGCAGTCACGCCAGCTGGGCCTCCTGATCTCATCAGCCGGCCCTTCAAAAGCGGCCAGCTGGAGCTCATCAGGGGAGAGAAATGTTTGTGGTTGCAGAGGCAACGTGTGTTCTCTCCCCGTTGGCGGTTACCAGAGATTTTGTGGTTAAAACCAGGTTGTGGTTTGCTTCTTGTGAAGAAGCAGCTTTAGAACCTTTTGTGTTTGGGATATTCCCAGTTAAGTGGTAGTTTTTGGTTTTGGTGTGTCTGCTAGACCACCTTGTGGGTAAATTACCAGGTGGGGTTTTTCCCCTTTTGCAGTCCCGGTTTTTCCTGAGCTATTGAAGTTGTTTTGGCAACTTTAGTTAATTCAGTATTTGGTTTTGTCTTTTAGACAAACCTTGCTTAATTACTTGGTGGGATTTTTCCCCTTTTGCGATTCATTCCCTTTTTAAATAAAGGAGATTTTATTTAGGATTTAGAGTGGTTGGTCCTCTGGACATTTTCCGTTACTCATTTAAACTTAGTTGGATAATTCCTAGGTAAGGTCTTTTTGGCCCTTCTTTTGGTTCTTTCTTTTTTTTTTTGTAATAAAACCTTTGAAAACACAAGGACACTTTGAGTTTGGTTTTGCTTGGTCAAGGCTTTTTCTCCCCAACGAGGGTCACTTTTTGTTATTCTGGTCCATCTTATGTTTATTCCCCTCACCTTCCTAGCTGAGCCCACAGAGGGGTGTAACAAAGTACTTCACCTTCACCTTCAGGCCAGCCAGTGAGGCGCTCATCTCTCTTAGCGCAGCATTGATGTCCTGTGTACATGTTTGTTGGTGCTCTAAGGGATTTCCTGCTTCTACATGTGAACCTGCTGGCCTCAAATATGAATTTGAGTCAGGATCAGTTTGTTGTTGAAGCTGAGCCTCAGTAAGAGAGCAGATTAACAACAGTGTAAAACCCACTGTTACATCCATTTCCTGTCAGGTTCTGCAGGTCAGCTTTGTGCTTTCTGTGTGACTCAAGCCTTAAATACAGCTTTTGTTTGCTTAAATATTAACTGACTCTCAGGTGATATGACTTGGTACTTTGAACTTATTTTATTATAATAAAAAGCACAATTGTGGCCTTAAAGCAATAAGTTACATTTACATAATTTATAATATAATATAGTAAACTGAGTTTGTTTCTGAATCTACAAGTCTCGTCCTCCTCTCCGGGGTTCCATTTGCTTTTCTGAGATGTTTGCTGCAGTTTTAATGGAGATCAGATAAGAGATGAAAATGAAAATCAGTGTGAAATTAAATATTGTCTGATGTATTAACAACTCAAATTCTCTAATCTTAGCTCTTTGCATCATAAAATAAAAAAATGAAAATTGTAATTAAAGAAGGTAAATAATAAGATAGTTAGAAAAAAAAATAATTCTGAGAGATTCTGAGTTTCTGTTTTAGATTCAGAAAAAGGCTCAGTTCCAAACAAACAAACAGTGTTGTTTCCAGGGAAACAATCA